GTTCATAGTGTCTCTTGAAATACTTCTTAATTTTCATGAAGTCCAGTTTTTTTCTTTTGTTACCTGTGCCTTTGGTGTTAACCGTGAATGAAATTTTAAACCAGTTGACTCACGGTATATGCAGTATTGTTGTCAGTTTTCTTCTTTCAAAAGCAAATCAAGATTTCTTTATCATGTGGAAAAAACAATGGGATAGAAAACTCAACACTATCACCTTCCTAAAGAAACACTACCACGTTGTAATAATTAATGAGAATTTATTTGCCTTTTGTCCAATGCAGTCACTACCACAGTCTCTGGGATCCTATAATAAATTTTTATACATTTATGAGAAAAATACAATAACATAGTTTACAAGCAATGACCTGTTTTATGTCACAAGCACTTCTTTTTTTTTTAATATAAATGTATAAAAGAAGTTGTGTGATAAAGGAGATCCTTCCATAGAAAAGTTCAGTCCAAACCAAATGACCTCAACATTTTCAAAAATTTTTCGCATAAATACTGATAGGAAGGCCGTCTGCCCAAAGTTCGTTGCACTCCGGGCCTGTGACATCGTTTTACAAATCAGATAAAATGGAAATAAGATGGACACATTCAGAGAAGACAGAATTCACTAGTGTTTTTGAGGCTGTGGCCTCGCAGTTTGCCTTTTGAACGATGAAATATTAATTGCACATTTTTAAAAATCACCAAGGTTATGCATCTCCCTGGAGTCTAGAAGGTCTTTCATATTTCTTAATTACCAAATCTGGGTTCTGCCGCTCGGCTTTCTCCCTGTTCCTGTTGCATCAAGGGTGCCCTTGCGGTTTCCTCTGAAAAGGACTATACATTAACATACGAGGTTGGGGGGGGGTGTGGAAGAAGGGAAAGGTGTTAATTCAGATGTTATGAAACTGTGATAATGCTATTATTTAAGGCACTTATTTGGGTATGTTTATACTTTGTAGTTTTATAAATAAACCCAAGGGGCTCCTCCTGGTTGTCACAATCCTCCTTGAATCTCGTATCCTGTCTGTCTCTTCCTATCCGACAGTAGAATTGATGCCGCTCTAATCCCTGGAAGTTGGGAACTAATGAACTCACTGCTGAGCTGCCGCCACGGAGCTTGGTCCCAAACTATACTGTACTTCACACTCGATTTATTCTCCAGATGGCGAGACTGTGCCGCCCTGCCGCGAGGGACCACCTCTTCCACTGGAGTGTAAAAGTGGACGGATGTTGTTTTCTTTGCAGATTTGATCATTCGGAGCTAGAAACTTGCGAGGATGATTAGTTATTAGCTTTAATGGGTGCCAATTGAACCAACTGCACGCATATTTTCTCCTTTAATTTTGGAGTCTGCAGGTCTTGGCGATGGTTGATTTAGCCGCTTTCTTACGTCACCCGAGCGTGTCTCTTCCCCAGGTGATAAGAACCGGGTCTCTGAAATCAGAGCACGCCTTGGTTCCTGGCCCAGACAGAGGCACATAATACGGTGGCTTATGTATAAGGACAAGTTTATTAGCCACTGGTCCACTGCACTGAGCAGCCTGCGGCACGAAATATCGATTGGCTGCAGGAAGTTTGGTGACACCACTTTTTATTTAGAACAGGGGCCAGTGATGATTCTGATCGGTGCCAACTTTCTTTGTGACCTCTGCAGAGTTCACCTCTGGAATCAGACATGCTGTAGAACACACTGTGATAATTAGTCTCTGCAAAGATCTAATGTAACTGTTGAGAAAGGCCTGAATTCCATTCTGTTTTTTCCAGGTTGTCGGATTTTAGTGGGACAAGTTCACCCTACATTAAGAAATGCTTACCAAGGCCGTTCTGTAAGACACCCCTTCCCCCCCACCAAAAAAAGGTTTTTGAGGGGCCTCTTTTTGCTTTAATTTCCTCTTCCTTCTTTTGCCAGGGAACATTACCTCCCAATAATCTCAGGAGATCACTTATATAGCCCTTCGGAGAAGGGGGTGTCTGCCAGGCCATGTCTTACTGATCCCCTGAATGAGACAGAAACTGGAAGGATACGGGGCGCCTGGGTGGCTCAGTCGTTAAGCGTCTGCCTTCGGCTCAGGTCCTGATCCCGGGGTCCTGGGATCGAGCCCCGCATCGGGCTCCCTGCTCGGCAGTGAGCCTGCTTCTCCCTCTCCCACTCCCCCTGCTTGTGTTCCTGCTCTCGCTGTGTCTCTCTCTCTGTCAAATAAATAAATAAAATCTTAAAAAAAAAAAAAAGAAATTGGAAGGATAGTTAGGGCCAAACAGAAGCCAAGGAAAAAGAGAGAGTGAAAATGTGAAGGGAGCAAGGTGATGCAAAGGAGAGAGCTGTGAGAAAGAGAGATTGGTATCAAGGAGAGAGGGAGGGAGAGAACAGAATGAACAGAATTTCTTTCTTTTCACAACTGGGCGGATGGTGGCTTTCTCTAGCTGAGCACCCAGAACTAAACTTAATTGTTTCTTAGAAACTGTCTTCCTCTCACCCAACAGATGGTATGGGTGTGTTTGCTAACACAGTAACATATTTCACCATTAAAGCACCAAAAAGAAAAAAAGAAAAAATCAACATACTTGTTGGTTGGTGTAAATTTCAGTGAAGATGTCGGATATTTTGGGCTACATAGCAGAGGGATGCACACTTAGTTTACGTAAATTGCAGCAAGCAACAGCCTGTTAATAAGGATATTGTGTGGCAATATACCTCCAAAGCCATCATCTTTTTTTGGAAAGGTACAGAATGAGGAAATGGAAAGAGCTTGTTTTCATTCTGAGCCCAAAAAAAAGTCTAACAAAATGCTGAGTAGTCACTGTTCATTATTATAACATGAAAAGTACTAATCAGATTATGCCTAAAATTGGAATTAGGTACTTCATTTGCAGCCAATTTCACAAGGGTTGAATTTTACTAAGTAAACCGGAATGTGCTGAAACCATGGTAATCTGACTTTAGTTAAAATCCCAAATGGGTTTAGAACACGAGCTTTGAACAAACAGTCCCTTTCTAAATGGAAACAACAAAACAGCTTAGAGGTCAGATTTTGTTCGACACCAACATGAACAATTTAGGAAGTTGACGTTGCCAGGGATTCTGCACCTTGGGCACACACACAGATTAAAATAGAGTGTAGATGATGATTCAAGTAATCCAAGTTTTAAAGTGCCTTTCAGGCTAAATGATCTAGTTCGTTCCTTTCCATTTTCCATTCACTCTGTCCCAGTAGACCCTTGACAAGCCCAACCTATTGAAAGAAATCCTGGAAGTTGAAATATTTACAAGCTGGAGAGCAATCCTGAGTTTGTAGCTGTGCGGGCTACATGGAGCATAACACATTTTAGGTTCTCGGAGGCCATGGATCTAAATGCCCGCACTGCCAAAGAGCTGAAGGCATTTCTCTCGACAGCTCTAGATGTCCTTGGAACCATGACACTGAGCTCACTTCCGCTCTTCACCTTCAGGATTTTCCTAGTTAGTGAATGTAACAAGAAGGCATGGCAGAGCAAGCAGATGAGTTTTATAGCTGTGGAATAGCCAACGGCATGATGTGGAACCAAGCCACTGTTGGCCGCATCGTCCTTCACTTTAGCTAGCGTGCGCACTCTCTTGCTTTTGTCTAAGCTTGGCCTAATTATCTGCAGTCAGAGCTCTGTAAATCAGGGCTCCACAGGGCTGTCTTAAACTGGTCTACGTATTCTGTTTCCATCTGACCTGACAACTCTAAGCCACTGTTTCCTCACACTGTTTAACTCAGACCACATTTGGAAGCCTTCCCTGCTCCCACTCGGTCGTAGACCTACATCCGTCTGCTTTAAATCTACTGTCCTGGCTTGTCTTGTTGATTAGACTTAGACCCAATATCGGCTCTCATAATTCTCTTTTTGTCTCCGCTTTGGTTTGCTATTTTCCCAGGTAAGTACTGCTGTTCAAATGGCTGTATATTGTTAAGACTTTTTTTTTTTAAACCACATTCGTCAGCAGTGAGAAGCTTTAAAGTTTTATTAGTATCATAAAAACCCTTCCCAAATGAAACTACTTTTGATAAGTGTTCATTCTGACAATGAGAATTTGTTGAGGGCTGTTGGCAAGTTGAAGGAATTTGTTTTTGAAACTGAAATTGGCAGGAAGTAATGACCCCAAGTGCTTTCTTTCTCTTGACGCCAACCCCCACCCCCTCAATACGCTCCTTTCTCTCCCCACCCCCTTTCCCACCTTCAACACCCCAACTCAGAGCCAGTAAATAACATGTTTGGTTTCATACAGTTTTTCTAGGGACAATTCACATACTGAAGCAGGCTTTCAACCTTTCAGCTTTTCCTAACTATGGAGCACAGACTGTCAAATCAAAGGGAAAAAAAGTATTTATTTTCCACTTCATGAAGGGATTTCTTCGTGGCATTATTGCCTTCCATCTGAATAAGCTGGAGTTTTTTTGTACTGTGGAGTGTCATTTTCCTGTAAGCACCTTCTTAGTTGAATGTCAAAATTCAACTCACTTGCAAAAAAAATTTTAAGTGACTAAAAAAACATGACGCATGTGGAAAGAGAAAAGCAAATCCTTATTTTTTCCCTAATGTGAATATGCTGACAGACGAGACCACCATTATCCATGTGGTATGTAGTTCCTTATATTTATTAAATGAGAAAATGCAGGTAGAAGACCTAGAACCTTGCCTAGAGCTTAGTAAATGCTCAATAAACGTTACCTATTAGTTATTTTACCCTCGTAGTTGGAAAGCAATGCTAATGAGCGAGAGCACAGTACTATTTAAGAAGTGCACCAGTACACATGACGGTGGTTGTCATCTCTGTTACAATCATCTTGAGTGAAGTTTGGAAATCAATCTCTTGTCTGTCAGATTGGACAACTTATTTCAAATACCATTTATTTGCTGGACGGGAAATGTGTAGATACAGTCCTGGTGCTCAGACTCTGAATCCACATAGCAGGTCCACGGTCAGTTGGATTGTTTGCTCTCGATGATAAATAAACTTAGGAGATACATTTTATTGACACTGACAGAATGAAGCTCGACTGAGAATAGTAAAAACGCTTGAAGACTTTGATCTGGGCCCAACCGAAAAGTGTGTGAGAGTCAACTCGGTGTCCAGCGGTCTGGCCGAAGAGGACCTGGAGACCCTCCTGCAGTCCCGGGTCCTTCCCTCTAGCCTGATGCTGCCCAAGGTGGAAAGTCCTGAAGAAATCCAGTGGGTGAGTAGCTAATGCTCTGCTTTAATTAAAGGCTCAGGAGCAGCTCTGAAGGACTAGCAGAAGGGAAGGATTCGGGTGCCGCATATTTTGAAAACAAATGCATGGAGCAGAGAAAAAGGGAGGTAAAGGAAAGGAGGGAGCCCAAGAAGCTGTTCCCTTCACACAAGGAGAGCCCTGGCTTTACCCAGAGTGTTCAGAGGAACAACTCTGCCCTCGGGATGATGCGTCCGCTCCCCACTCAGACTTGCGGTTTGGCCAGAACAGCCTCTTCGGAAGCCTCACAGAGCAAGCCTTGGTAACTGGCTTGCCCGGGAATTGGATCACTCCTCACGGCCCGCCAGGCCCTAACCTCCACCGGAAGAGCAGTGAAGTAAATGGCTCCCACCCAGGTTCATTTGCAGTCTTCATAGACAGCGAAGGCACATTAGCCATGAATGAAAAAACGAACCTAGAGGAGGAGAGGGCAAGGTCACTCCTGAGGGCAACTAGAGGAAGAAACAGGAAGCTTTTAACTAGTGGTTTTAATTAGCACAGATATTATTTCCTGAACAGCTCTCTAGTCCGTCCTTTTTTAAATTGGTGACAGGTGTGTGTGTGTTTCATGACAGACTTTTCAGCCAATAAAAACCTGGCATGTCAAATTACTTAAGAAAACTTTGAAATGGGCCTAATTATACTATGATTGTTTTCATTGTTCAAGGAGGGGGAGGCTAGATTTTATTTAGGGGTTGCTATGATTTTGCAGATCTCTGCCGAATAAAATACCTGCCCATTGTGCCGCTCGGGGGCAGAGGGCCTGGGACACGGCTGTGGGCGCAGGCTTTTGATGCCACATCTGGGATTATCTCTAAGGCTGTGGCTGCAAACGCAGCAATACACCGAATAGTTGTACTACCAGAGGAAACTGCGCACCTTTTTCAGGCATGTAGATGCGTCGAATCTGTACTTTCCAGTGCTCTGGCCGCCCGCCCCATGTGGCTACTGAGAGCTTGAAATGTGGCAAGTCCAAATTGAGATGTGCTGTAAGTGTAAAATACACATGGGGTTTTGAAGACTTAGCAGCCCGCTCCCCCAAAAAGAATGTAAATTATCTCAGTAGTTTTTATATTGATCACATGTTGAAATGACTAATATTTCAGGTCTATTGGGTTGAACAAGCATTATTCAAATGAAACTGACCTATTTCATTTTCCTGTTTTAATGTAGCTCCTAGAAAATTCAGAATTACATCTGTGGCTGCCATTATTTTTTCTGCTGGACAGCTCCGTGTTGGAGTCTTCTTGAAGACCCCATGTTCAAGGACCCATATTTACTTTCTAAACTGGAGTTCTTCTCTCCAGGGTCACCCCTCAGAAGCTGGGAGATACTGGTTACAGTAGGCTACAATCCCCGAGGCCTCCTACCCCATTCGAATGTGTCTTAAATTGATTGAAATGGAATCTGAAGCCACTGTTCCCTTTTGGTTTCATGTTAATGCCTGTTTATCACCGTTATTACCCTTCATTTAAGAGGGGAGGACCCACCCCAGCCTTGAGCTACAGCTTCTGTTCACTGTTTTAAATCCTTGGATAGAAATAGGATTTCTAGTTAACAGAAGTCTTTTGGGCTGTTTATTTTTTCCTCTCCGTTTGTATTTATGTGAAGCATAAAACCCAGAGCCTGATGCACAACTGAAAGATGGGCTTCCTTGTTTCCTTTTGTGTGAGAATCTCTTGCCGGCCTTTTGTCGCTAGTGTGGGTTCTTGTTTGACTGGCACGGCTTATTGGACTATAACAAGCGCGACTCTGCCTTCTTTGTCGTGGGACAATTCTCCCACAAATCCCGAACAGTGTGCATTCTTCCAACACACTATTGGGTGTGCACTGGAATTGAAAGAATTGCTGAGCCCTGCTACTTCATCTCCTCCCCAATCTCTTTGTGATTTTTTCCCCTTCTTTTCCTCCACCCCCTCCCCAGCCCCTCCACCTCACTGAAATGAACACTTTACCAGGCCGGAAACATTTAATCGTCTCCTTTTGAAAAAATTAATTGAAACTTCTCCACTAGTTACCTTTTGTGGCAGTACTTAATGCAATTTTTTAAGAAAGAAGGGGAGGAGGAGAAGGAGAATGGGCCAGAATATTTAATTTTTAAATGTCCCTGTTGGCTTAAAAACAGAAGGCATTAGAGATTTTTCTAAGAACAGGAAATATATTGTAAAGTACTTAACTAGTTTTAAACTTTATGATTCTTGTAGTTACAACTGTTATCGCAAAGAATGGGGCAAGTAATGTTGCACTTTTTTTGGTGTTTTTTTTTTTTTTTTTTAGTGAGAAAAAAAAAGTTCCTCCAGTGCAGATATAACACCAAAACCGCTAATCTTTCACTACCCATTTTCTAGCTTAAATGGGACATAAATTAGGTTTTACTTTCACTTTCCCGTAATATTATACATTTTGTCTCCTTACATTGTAGCCTTCTCTTCTTTCTTGCTGTTTTGGTTGAGTTATTCCTTCCCTTGAAAAGTTACTAAGGAGGTGATGATGATGGTGTCTGAGGAAGGGAGGGGCAATGGGAGCAACTGGGAATAATTCTTCATTACTGAAAGCTGTGATTTATTTTAGCCTAATTGTAAAGTTACTGCAAATTGCTCAAAAGCTTTTTAAAGATCCCAGTGATTAGATTTTTTAGGGGGGGTGCTGCACAAGCAAGGAGGGGGCAGCTAAAAGGGGAAATAACACCTCTAATCCTGCTTCTGGTAAATAGGCTGCCAGCTTTTAAAATGAGTTTCCTTTCTATTAGTCAGAATATTATGCTAAGCCTTAAGCATTAGTTTTTTTATGTTGCCATAGCAGCCCTATTCCTGCAGGGTGGTGACCTGCCATGATTACAGTACAAAGCTTATAGGGTCTTGAAACCCCCTTTGAAGATGAAAAGTCTTTGATGGTTTATATTTATGCAAATCTCTTAGATATGATTTACCCAACTGAGACTGAATGGAGAGATGATTAAAATTCCCTTTTCCTTTGATATCCATTAATGGCTGAATATTCCTTAAATTTAAAATGGATATATATGTTTTCATCTTTATTTACAAAAATAGCTTTATCATACCTGTGTTTTTTTTTTTTATCTCCCCACATCTTATTAGATCTAGATAGACATAATAGATTTACAATTTAGAGTGTGGTGGGTTTTTTTTTTTTTTTTCCTTTTGAAAGGAGGGGTGGTGGAGATCTGTGCAAGAGCTTTTGTATGTTTCCAGATGATAGATTTTGGAATTTGGGCTACCCCACTGGCAGCGCAGAGCTAGCTGTGAACTGGTCTCATGGAAAAAATTGGCGAGCTTTGGTCTTCAAAGAATTAAACTTCCTTTTTAAGGTCTTCCTAGGTAAGCTAAAAAATTATGAAGAAAAACCTTCTGAACAAAGGATAATGGTGCTATAATGAATAATATGGGTTCCACGTAGAAGGCTGCTGAACAGTTCCACTGATGTCAGTGCCTGGTCCAAAACAAAAACAGAATGGCAGGTAGAGCAAGACTTCACTGTTTTGGGGGCCTACCATTTGCATTTAACGAAGTGAAGGCTAGAGGTCTTACGTAAATATGTTTTCAAGGAAAGCATTTAAACTCCAGAATCTCTCTTTCCACTTCTAACTCCTAGGCCTCAAATTGCTCCTTTAGGGGAAAAAAAAAATTATAATGCTTGGGGTTTTACTATTTAGTTTGGTGGGAACTTTGTTACCTATTTTCTTTGGTCTTTCCTCCTATTTTTGTTTTGTTTTCATTCTTTTTTGTGTACGAAATAGGCTGGGATATTACTTCCTCAGGCCAAAGACTTAAATACTACTTCTACGTCTACATTTCGGTGATTGTACATTTTTTCCCCTACTAATCACCTATGACACTTTTGATTTTAGTTTTCAGACAAATTTTCCTTCTACTTAAAAGGCCGAAAACTTGAACAACCTATGAATTTAATCCCTTTTGTGGAAACTGCAATGGGTTTGCTCAATTTTAAGGTAAGAGAACATAATGTGACTAATAAGTTAGTATTTTATTTATTACCTAAGGGAACTTTTGTTCTCAATTTTGACACCTACTTAAAAATATTTTTCTAGAAAGATTTATAGGCAAAGTAAACCCTGAGCACCATTTGTTCTCTATAATAATCCAAAACCAGGCTGTGAGCATCTTAGAAAACAAAAGAAATTGGCTAAATAGCAAAGAAGAACTTCCCAATCCTAAATATTTAAGTGAAATATTTATATATTCCTATTTCAATTAAATAATCACATGTAAACATGTTTTGAATTATTATATTTGTAGATGAAATCTACATGAAAATTTATTTTGTTGCCCTTATGAATTAACTTTCAATTATTCTTTTGTAACAATTGCCTTTTATTGGGAAATTTGCTGGCCTCTTTGTAGCAACATTATCCATCATGTCTAGTATGTAAGACTGCTATTTGTAGGTTAGGATACATCAACAATTTGTAGTATATTATTTCAATTTGCCACATTAGAACATAAAGTATTTCCTGATATGCATTCAGGAAGATTAGCTGAACCAAGTGTTTGCCAGCATTGTATGGTCACATGCAACAATTTGCCTTAACGATTTCATGGCTAGCTTGTTTTTTCCCCTTTATCACTGATCATTTAAACTGTTTTCCAAAATATGCCTCACATTTCACCTGACTCATGAACATCATTGTAGCACCCTGTCTCAGAAGGCAGGAGGGAAGAAATCCCTAAAAACAAAGAAAAGAGATAGTTGGAAACTGCCCAGAGAGATAATACGTGAGTAAGCGCTCCGAGAGGAAACTTTGAGATCTACTGGACCATGCAGGAGGGGCAGAGTGCATATGTTTGGGGAGCTGCTTCAAGCCTCATGATCAGCGCATTTACCCCACTAACCACAAATTCTTCCAGCCTGCCCCACAATTCTGAGATACAATCAAAGCATATCCCTTAGATGCGACTAGATTCATACGATGATTGAATTCTAAACTCCACTGCACCATTTTATTCCATATTGTAAGTAGAAGCACTTACAACCCCTGAAATTAATCAATGTCCTCTCCCGATTTTCAGGTCTTCCCCATCCACATACATTAGCATGCTGAATCTCCACCTTGGTAGATTCAGTTACATCTAGGACAAATGTTATTAATCTTTATTTTCACATAGAAATATGGAAGTTGCTAATGAATACATCTTGGACGACTTGTTGCATTTTTATTTGCCCCTCTGGAGTTGTAGATTTTTGTATTGTATGTCTTTAATCCTGAGACCATTTACTAAGAAATCCTGATCCTAATGCAAATAATCCAATTAATTTGATTTAAAAATTCTTTTCCTTCTCTCCTGTGGTTTTATGTTTATTGTTTGAGAGTCTCTTAAAACAAAAACAAATTTTGGAAAAAGAGAAGTAATTTACAGTACGATCAAAATGAGTTAATTCAAAGTTTCTCTAGAAATTAGATGAACTATGATTCGAACATTATAACTATATAAATATATATTTGTAACTATATTAATGTAATCCATTAAGCAAAGCAAATCTATACAACATACTTATCTTGGACAATATTAAAAGCCTTTCAAAAGGGGTAAATTTAGGCTGCATTTTTAGGACTGCCAGTTTGCTTTCATCAAACTGTTAAGAGTTGGATCTTTCTGTTACTGAAATCCACCATGCTGCTCCTCTCTAAATTGCGCGTTTCTATGATATTTGGTTCTGTTTTGCTCTTTTACAGGCCGTGTGTGAAGAAGCACTAAAGACCGGACCTCAAGTGGGTCTTTTTCTAGATGCAGTCGTTTTTGGAGGAGAAGACTTTCGAGCCAGCATAGGTATCAAACACATTTCTCTCTTTTTCAATCTCTGTGTGTGCATGTATCTATCTGTGTGTGTGTGTGTGTGTGTATTTTTTCTTTGCCCCTTCCTGAATGGACATTTACATGACAATATATATTTGCCAACCATGACAATGGTTTTTCAGCTGAATGGACAATACTTTCTGATAATTTAGGGCACCTCAGAGCTGTCCTGCTTCCAGAACACTATATTATTACTTCTCTTCATTTACAAAATAATAAAAAGCCTGTTGCAACCTCAGATGTGTTTGGGAATATATGATACCTACTTTGTTCGGAGTGAGTATAATATGTGAACAACCTCTCCGTTGCTTATTTTGTTTTCACGTCAGTCTGAGGGCTATCTAGGCTTCTAACACAAATTTAAGGCAATTTCACATTTGTTTTAATGAATCATTTTCTACGTTAAATGTTGTATCCAAATATTATTTTAAACAGATCTTAAATTCCTCCTAAAATACATTTTAGAACTCTTCTTATTAAATATTTATTGAGATAGTATGCTTGTTTCCACTGATTTTCCCCATCCCTTGGGCACTCTGCCTCCGGTCTTAACTCGTAACTCTGGGCACACCTAGAAAAGAGGCCAAGGCCACAGAACATTTGCAGAACCACAGTCCCAGAGGCCTGAAGCCTGGAGCTCTCCCTGAGCAGTGTCACGGTCCAAATACCAACAGCGATACCCCCCACACACCCGCCTCTATGGGGAAAGAAAAGGAACTTATTTTAATACCAGTCTTTCCAAGAGACTTTTGTGTTTCCGACAGTTCAGTGGACACTTTCTGCCTCTTTCAAAATGAGTGCCCTTCCGTTTCCCCAAGTTCTTCATCCAAACCCTGAAGCTGCACTGTTTGGCTCAGAACCTTAGTTATGGAAGGGCATTGCATCCACAGCACGCGAATGTCTGTGCTCAGTGAGAGAAGTTAACCATTTCCTTGCACAGCTGCTCGGCCACCTTTTGTGGTGCTTTGAACTGATACTTTCCAAGCAATGGCAAGAAGGAAAAAATATACCAGAAGTTAATTTGTGACCTAGCAAATCATTTGTGGTTGTATCTCCTGAGATGCAGGAGGGGTCTTTTCTTAATCCACACATAAGCAATGACATTGCAAGATGCCTTCCAAGATAAAGAGACACATATGAGATTTACTCTGCCTCCACATATCCCTCTCTTCGTTTATATTAGAATCATCATTTTGCTGGGGAGCAATTCCCAGGTCTTTACCAACCGAGTTTTTACAATAGGTGGCTGGGTTTGGTTTCCAGAGTTCATGTCTCCCTTTTCTGTCCACATCCCATTGCAGGTGCAACAAGTAGTAAAGAAACCCAAGATATTCTGTATGCCCGACAGAAGATTATCGTTACGGCAAAGGCCTTTGGTCTGCAGGCCATAGATCTGGTGTACATCGACTTTCGAGATGGAGAGGGCCTCCTCAGGCAGTCAAGGGAAGGAGCTGCAATGGGATTTACCGGTATGATTCTTGATGGTATCTTAGAAAGCAGTAGCTAAATTAGCAAACATTCCAGAAAAGTAGAACTATAACCAGAAATTAGTGTTCCTAATGTAGCCACATATCTGCTATACTTATTCCACTATTTGAAATGTGAAAAAGCCATCGAGGGCAAGAACCTACAGAACAAACTATTGTGTTTTCCTTTGGCTGGGCAACTTAAACAATGAAGCCCTCATTTTATTTCCTCTTTACATTAGTTGCCATTTTTTTTTCCTGTCTTCCTAAGTATTTTGTTTTTGCTAACATTAGAGGAGGGATGAGGCTATTATAGAAGTGTTTTTGAGTGAATTGCCATAAGAATTTGGGTTGATGGGGAGAAGAAAAATGTCCTCATACATTCAAAATATTCATTCATTTCTGAAAAGAACTTCGGTGATATCTTCTTTGATTTTTTTTTTTACTCATAACTAGTTTTTTACTCTTCTCCCACTTCAAGCCCCTTATTTCTCTCCCACCTCCCAATAAGTGTCTATGCACCTGGCGACACCTACGGGCTTTGGCTGGCACTAAGATCTGCAGGTCCCCCCGCAATCCAGTCCTGGAGCGCAGGCAGATATCTGTTGATTGGTGTGTCTGATCACTCAGATCCCCAGGAGTCCAGATAGCAACCAAAAATTGTGTTTTTGCAACAGAAATCCATTTTTTTCAAAACCACAATAGGATTCTACACACAAACACACGTCAGCAGTTGTGTGTACTCATACACTCGTGTACACAACCATGGATAAGAAACACCATAAGCTCTTTTATTCTTATTTATTCTTCTGCTGCAAGTTCTAAGAATATCATGATCATAAGTGAACTCAAATAATAAGGAAAAGGGACAAACATCCTTGCTATCCCTTTTGTAAACATTTTTGAAATGTGTCCAGTTAGGGATTACTGAAAGAAATATTTCATAAAGTGAACCTTAAATGTAAAACATATCTTAATGGACGGTGGTTTAACCCCAAATAAAATTAAACAAGTTAAGAAACAATTTTAGTGTTATATTAGACTTAAATAAAGTTCTAACATTTGTTTTTGTGTTTTTAACATGAACAGTTAAAACAAAATGTGATTCCCCAAATTTGTTTAATAAATAAATGTGATCTCTTATAGAGAAATATTTTCCAATCACCTGAACTATTAATAAATGAATCCTCCCTACATTTAGTAGTGACTAAGAACGAAAGAGTCCCTCTCTCCTGGCCCTGAGGTTGTCCTTGTTCCTGTGGCCTGTTACACCTGCCTCTTTCCAATGACCAGTTAGGACATAGCCCAAATGGAAAAGTTGGAGAGACACTCCATGAAATCTATCTAATAGACCTCGATGTTGTTGGTCTAAAATGTGTGGCATTGGCTGCCAAGCAGCCAGATGTTGCTGTGAAATGGGCACTAATTCAATAAAAAAAAAAAAATGAAAACACTGAATTGATGCTGGCCTGTGTCACCATCACTCAGTATAACCTGGGTGTCCTCAGCTACCTCTGGGGTAAATGTTTGCTCCAGAACTTATAAAGGAGTTTGAGAATTTCTCCAAGAAACAGGGCTGAATTAAATTGGTCCCTAATTCAATCGCAGAAGACAAGTTACTTCAAATCAGATTTAAATTTCTAGACTGTGCCCAACTCAGCATGAGGAGCTTATGGGCTTGGCACTATTGTTTCTCAACAACAGGGAGTATTAAATCACACACACAAAAAAATGGAAGCAGGGGGAGAATGGGGAGGCACAGAGGGTACAGTGCCCATTATATATTCAAGTGAACAAGTCAGTAAAGTAGGGAGCTACACTTCATAACCATTTTACAATTTTTAGAAAGAAGGTCTTTGTAGTCCCAATTATATTGCTACATACCAGTAAAAGGTAATTAGTCTGATAATAAGATACGAGATTATTTGTAGTATTTTGAAACAATAAGGGCTTTGATTATTTTAGACCCAGTTGTCATCTGTTTGTCCTAATTATTTGTCATTTAATTGCCATAACTTGGGCTTTGCACAAGCAGGGAGGAAAGCAAGGAAGGAAGAAGAAATACACACCCTCTCTGAAGCAGGTGGTTGAAAAGTTTTAAATACCTAATGAAGGTATCGTGTTACCCCTAACACTGAGGAGCAACACTCAGTCTATGCTATAAGGATTTTCTCTACTTTTAAAAATTATACATTTTTTTAATGAGTTGTAGTTTTTTAAAAGTTAGCCATACATCTCTTCTGCAGTCATTATTTCATGGGGCCACAGTCCATGTGGATTGATTTTAAATCAGTGCATTGGCCATATAAGTGGCTATTAACATTAGGAATTATTTTTATAAAAAGAAACCAAAATTAAATCTTGGAATAAAGCTTCAACAGCTGACTTGGTCATCACAGTTACTGCAGTCCTGCATGCTGAGAAGAAAGATGATAAATATGAAGCACTGTAGGTTTTCTTCTTTTTTGCAGTCTTTTGTAGAAGACAAAAATGACACCATCATACAGTCACCTAAAAGACTTGACAGGTATTGATTTAAAGCACGATATATCAAGTGGTACTGTAAAAAGGATTTCATGGTCATAAATTTTAATGTCTTCCAATTTTGCACCCTCAGTAACTTGCCAATAACAGCTCTTCTGTATAAAATATTTGCTTCACTCCCACATGGCATTGAAGTCTGATGTTCCATTGTTGGGGTATACAAGAATCAGCCACAGATAACTTCATGTGTGGATGTTCATAAATTTCTAAAACTTAACACGTATCCTAAAATTAGCCTCACTACCAAAATACCGGTACTTGCAGGCCATCAGTGGTTTCCCAGTATTTCTAGATAGTTTATGTTTTGCTCCTCAAGTCATAGTGTCTGTACCAAGAAGTTCCCGTGAAATCTGGCTTTTTACACATCTGTGTAAATTATGTACATAAATTATAAAATTCAGGTCTAACAATTAGTACAAAATGACTACCAGAACTGACATCCTTTATTAATAATATCGTAACAACTATTAGATGACTTAAATATAATTGCAATACCTACTATTGAAAAAAGCTCTCATTTGTCATCACAGGTATTATTTATTCGCTGAAATTATTCCTCAATTTTAGTATATGTGCTGCCGAAGTGAGCACGATTCCTCAAATAATTTAAAGCATCTTTAGTTGTACAGGGTTTTAATGTTTTATTAGTATGCTGACAGATTAGAATGAAATAATAGCAAGGTAAAGGTGTTCTAATTATGCTACTAGAAGAAAAGATATTGCTATATTTATTTACTTGAACTCTTTTCCATGAAATAACTAAAAAAATTTTTTTACAAATATTGGGGTTTTTTTTCTATTCAATAATGACAGTAACAGGAATTATCTTTTTTAAAACATCAAGGGTATAAATTGTATTGGCTAAATGTTAAAACAACTATTTCAAAAGCAAAGCAAATTGATATATGGACGCATATATTTAGGAGAGCAAATTATCATTAAGTGCACATTCATTTTTAAAGAACCAAATATGTCCATAATTTTATCATGTAATAAAATACAATCTCATCATTATTATAACATTAAATTATGTTGTATTTTATTAATGACCTGATTCAATTTTGCACTTCCCCGATTGTTAAATTGTTCCTTTTAATGACTGCATGATTTCGTAGAAGCCTGTGAGTGTTATGTTTGTGTAATGTTTTTCCTTAGGATCCTTAAACTCTGAAAAGAAGCAGAAAGCTTTTTTAAAGCTATTACTAAAGAGATTAACTTTCTTCTGGGTATCTAAATGTCTACATAAGAGGGAAATATTCAGTCTTCATTCTACAAGAAAAAAGGGAAAGCCTGGTTATGTTTATAGATAGAGAAACTTTCAGTAACTTTTTTATTTAAACATTTTGAAATGGAGTAACCTAGAGACCACTGTGTTCAAATCTGCCTTCTATTCCACTGTACTGAATAAAATTTTTTCATCGAAATCCAGTTTTCTGATAGTGGTTAGAAATGACACACTATATTTGTCTAAAAGAAAGAAAATTAAATATATTATATTATTGTAAGCCACTATTTGATATTAATATGGTTGTAACATCTGCTTCTGTAAGCTTTATGAAAAACAACAGACCACTTCTAAAAGAAATCATGGCAGGTGGGATAATGGTACAAAATAAGCAAAAGACAACTTAAAAAATTTGAAAGAGTTAACATACAATTTTTTTGTACTTTAACTCAAAATAATCACTCTAATTTGCAGATATTATCCTTTAAAGTTCCAGCCAAAGGATTAGTCAACAAGCTGCCTAGTCAACCCACCTGTAACTAAAAATGAGAGATTATCTGCACTAAGGTGGCATTTCTATAGGATCAGAAACACAATTACTCCCATTCTTCTGTGTTTCTTACGTGGTATTCTGGAAAAGCCTGCCAGATTGCAGTTACTTTCTTTTTAAAAAGTTCTAAAATTATTAGTTATTTTACATACAGACTGTGAAGCATTAGGAGCCTTTCGTGGTTGAGACATTTTGTTTGAACATCTGTTTGTTGTTTCATGTTTCCGGTGTTATTAATCTTCTTGTAGGTAAGCAGGTGATACACCCTAACCAAATTGCCGTGGTGCAGGAAGAGTTTTCTCCTTCCCCTGAAAAAATTAAGTGGGCTGAAGAACTAATCGCTGCCTTTAAAGAACATCAACAATTAGGAAAGGTAAATGTTTTGTTAATGCCTTGGGTGAAACTGGTGTTTAAAATACTGTGCGGTAAAAATATAAATTAGATATCATTTCAGTCATTTCAAAAACTCATTGCGTTGTAAGGGGGGAGGTGGGAGGGGACAGCATTCATCAGGGAGAAATTCGCTTAAGGTAAATTTGCCTTTCCATGTTTCTGAATATTTCACTACCTGGCCCTCAAGTCTCTCTAGAGGTTATTCTTTTCATAAACTATATTGGCAAGCCTTTGAGAAAATAGAAGTCTGTTTAGTTTTTCTCTATAGACTCCGATGCAGCATTCATATGAAAATAATTTTAGATCAAAGTGAGAGCAAGTTGTGATGAAATAAACACAGTTTGATCAAATGGTTCTTGTGGAGAGAGGAAATAAATTTTCAAGTTATTTTAATTTTGGGGTAAAAATGTACAAAAAGCTCCTCCGGTTTAGTCATTTAAGAGTGGGAGGTTTTGTATGTGTTTGTACCAATTTCTGGACCTGAGATCTGGATAGAATGGAGAGCAAATTAACACTGGAGTACGGTTGTTCCTAATTTAGTGCATCATTGAGCCTCGCGTTTCCTGCTCTGTGGGTTTCTGCTATGTAAATATTGCAGTGGTGATGCGCAATCTGTCTCCACTTTGTGCCAGTAACACTTAAATTAGGTGTCGCCTGAAGGAAGATTTTATGCTAGTTGCAGCATTGTCAGTTAATTATCTTAAAGGTTATTTGCAGTAATACCGTTTGCCTCTTTGTAAGAGAATGGGGGGAAAGTTGCATTTATAAATCCATCCTAGAGGTACTATCTAAACTCAGCCTTGTTATCTACATAAGGAGTGAAGTTTTAGTACCTGCGATGCAAAAGTACTTGGGGAAGAAAGAATGCTGAAACATTACCAAGGTTCTAAAAACAGCCCCTTACGGGGGGGGGGGGAGACAAAACTGGCGTCAGTGGTGAACTGGTGACATCAATGTGAGAAGTATCATTTGCACTTTTCACCGGCAGTAAAAACACCTGAAAATCCCAGGACTTGGGAACGTGGGTAGCAGTATTAAGTGGGTCACTCCCTCCCTGTCATTACGGACACCTGCCTTTAGCTCCGACCTTGTATTCTTGCTCACCCTCACACACTCACAGGCTCGTCTTTACACAAACTGGCACTTAAAATCAAAAGGCAAAATATGTGACGTTGGAAACCTCCCATTTGGACTTACACCAATTTCAGGATAAATAGCATTCTTTCATTTCAAATCAGGAGTGGCTATCAGAAAATCACTGCAGTTTATAGAACTATGTTTTGAAAATCACATTGTTTTAATGTCCATTTCTATATCTTGACTCCAAAACCCAGTGCCTCCATGAATGCACATAAATATTTACAGAGACAGAAGGGCCATGTACTTTTTCATTCATACATGCAAAGAACTCCATCCAGGCCCCTGTCGCCCCTGTGCCCCTGCACACACTAAATGTTCTCTACCTCTCTGTGTGTGCCTTACGTCCGCTGATAAATACTTCCTACGGAAATAATAAACTGAGGCAGAATATGGGCCATCAAAATGGCAGCCCAAGCAGAGTTCCAGTCTGGGCCAACACTGCCTCCGTTAACCGCCTACACTGGGTTTCACACTGAATAACATCAAAGGATGCCACTTAGCACTGTAAGCGGCGAGGTGCATGGAAGCCAGCTCCATACTAAATTTCGGGGAGCCAGCAAACAAAATTCAAAGTAGAAACACACTCTTTTGCTGGCATTTTCAGTTCTTGAACAAAGGAAAAAATACTTTTCCATTGTATCTTAAAAGTGTTCCCGAACAAAACTGTCCCAAAGTGTCCTTGCCTTTTGATGATGGCAACTTAAATGTTAAATTTGAACTGGCTTTTTTTTTTTTTAATAAGAAATTCTGTTTTGTTGGGGCGTAAGCTTTCACAATAGTGTAGTAGGACAGCTTTTCTTAACACAGAACCACAGAAATTAGAGCAGAAGGGAGACTCACCATTAGGTCATTTCCTCCCTGCCCCATTGGCGTAGGTTTGTTTCCTACAGCAAATTCTCCTGGTGCTTTGTCCAGCAAGGTTTAAATGATTCAAGTAATGGGGCTTCCAGTGGGGACATATGGTTATTTTATCCAGTTCGCATGTTTCTTTCACTTTGCCTATAAATTGGCTGGTCACAAAAATTGGGTCTGCAGGTAGGTGACTCTGGGTCTTGAAGGGTCTTGGGGTTTAAATAATGTGTGTTCTGTTTGTAAAGATTTAGTATAAATAGGTTGCTCAATTGTATAAAGTATTGCTTCCAACAAACATCTAATCTGTTTTATTTCGAATGTGAATCGCTGATGAAAACATACACCCTCGGATACTTTGTCCAAAGCACAGGTGACTCTGTCAAGGATGGTAAACTGATAGTCTGTGTCCTAGTGAGACAGTTACAGATTTCCAAAAGACCTTTTTTCCCCTCTGATGAAAATTTCATTCAAGTAATGTTTTTAAGTAGAAATGACCCAAGAAGGCAAAATTATGTATTTTGCTTTTCTCTACTTCTGCTCCCGTCCTAAATTATATTCTGCCCTAAGACCAGAGGTATAGCTGAAGTTCGCAGGTAATGCTGGGTGCTTTGTGTTTTCTGTAGTGATAATAATTAGTACTGTTGTATAGTAATAATAACAATAACAATATTGTAATAAAAATAATTATTATTAAAAATAAAAGTTGTACCTTTTTTTCTGTTCCTTCCAAATAATTAAATTTGTGGGAATACTTAGATCACAAAGTAGACAAATTATTGGAGAACTGTCTTTGGTGTCACAGAATTTTTTGTTGTTTCATTTTAATTAGAGGTTCTTAGGAAATAAAGTCTGATGCCCCTTAGTCTAATGTCAGGTGAAAAATACTTTACGTTAAGAAATAATAATCTGCTCATATAATCTGTCACTCACTGTTTGGCGGATAGTGATGCTTGTGACTGCTTTGTTTCAGGAAACTATAGATATTTACAGGCAAAAGCATTTTTCCTGGCACAATAGTCCCCTCTAGTAAGAATTAGGCTATAGATTGACACTAGGGACTCAAAGTCATCTTCTCTTATTAAAATCTGTTGGAAAAAGCTTAAACATTTCCCATACTCTATGCTCCTATTTTAATTCCCATAAGCTAAACTATGTCAAACTTAGCCGACATCCGTTGTGAGATATATACCCGCAATATTCATCAAACTTGAGTTTTTCTCCAGTGCTTCCAGAAAAATATATTTTGAGATACAACCTGTATGTCATTAATAATTTTAGCTTCAAATTATTTGGTAGAAACTTTAGCCAGGATAAATTACTTCCCATGTAATTTATTTTAAACCTATAGAAGATTTTCTTAAAGGTTAATTTTATTTATCATCTTTTCCATAGCAGTGGTAATGCCACTATTTGAAAATTCTCCATTCAGAACTGAATTTATTATTGCTTCTTAAAAATGGGATTTTTACAGTTCTTTTTTTATCAACTTAAAATTGTGTAGAGTACGAAAATTGGGTAACTGAAATAAAAACATCTCAAGCAAATATTTAGTTAATATTACTATGTATATATCAATGGAAACTATAACTTACATATAAGTACATATAAATATTTATGCAATATATATACATTCATCTATTATGATACAGTATATTTTTTCAAGTCTCTATTACAAACTCAGTGCTCATTTTTGCTCTTTTTGTATTCATTTCTTCTTGGGCAAAAATGACAGCTAAAGGAAATGATTGATCGGTAATCCTAAGATATCTTAATATAAGAATTTAGCATTTCTTTCTGTGTGGAGACTCTAACGAAAAATGTGAAAAAATAGCAAAGTATATTCCTGTTTTCTGCAGTATCTGACTATAAATACAGCTTTGCTTCATTTTCAGTTTTAGTCATATCATTCTAATTTGGTTTTGGAATGATTTCGTTTAACTTTTTCAATATTTTTCATTTGTTAGAGCTTCACAAGCTAGCTAAAAACCAAGGAACAGGAGATGTTCATCTTTAAAATCTAGGTTCAATTAACAATTATAAAGGTCAAAAACAAGGTCACACCTTGACATAACAACTGTAAATATCCCTGAAACATTCTAATTTCACTCGTGAGAAAACCATAGAGCAAATTAATAAGTTGACATTAATAAGCAAATCCTCTACTGGAATATAAACTGGGAATTTATATCTTAATAAAGAAAGAGGAGCTTTTTTTCCCTCATGTAAGTCTTTTCATCTAGGGAATTACAAAGAATAATAACCACCCCCCCCAAGTATTGAAAGCAAATTATTTTCATAGGTATCTGATTGCTGCTCATACACCTTTCATTTGTGTTTCCAAATGCAGGGCTTTACAAAAGAAATACTGTTTGGGCCAGATGGCCTTCTAGAAGGCTCCCTGAGAGAACTCAGAAGTCTCTCTAGCCAAAAATATTGTTTCCGCTTATTCAAGTGCCAGAAATCCCACTGCCACTCTTTCACGCAGATCAAATAAACCATCTAAAGATTTGGTTGTTGTCTTTGTCTGCTGAAAGGGTTGATTCCACTAATAGACAACAATGTACCCTCCCACACCCAAGCATCCCACCACCCACCGCCTTTCCCCCCTTTATTTGTAAGTAGGAATACTAAAATCAGAACCGAGCGATTTCTAGTGAAAATGAAAACTGAAGGGACACAACTCTACTTTTGAGATGCTCAGTTATTACATTTCTCCCTTTATTTCCTTGTTCACAATATTTTTAGAACTATATGCCATAATTGTGACTTTAAAAAGTCAAATTCGTTAAAAAGCTGAGAGTCTGCCAATGAGGACTTCAAGGTTGATCTGATTAGCAACAAATCTCAGATTTCTAAACATTTAAACTAAGGCAATACAGTTCTAGTGCGGATACATCCTATTTCACCTAGTTTTAGTGGCAAATGGTTCAGTATTGGAAGATAAGAAATTGTATACGTAGGTTAAATCTGATGTTTTCTAAAGTTGTT